CGAACGTCTACAGGCCGCACGCGCATGGGAGGAGAGCGTCACGGCGAGATGGCCGGTGAAGGAAAAAATGAATATTCACTTGCCCGGTACAATTGGTCTACGTAAAAAGGTACCTGCCAAAGGACTCTCTCAGAAAATAAAAGGAAAGCGCAGGGAGGAGAAGAAATGGCAGGAACCAAAACACTGCCGGGAAGGGACGAGTGACGCCTCAGCCAAATTCAGCTGCGCCTTAGGCCCGGGGTACCGGAGCTGGGTCTCGGGTGGGTGAGAAAGCATGTGAAGGCACCCCAGTCCAACTAGTAATCGCTTCGTCTCTCCCCCTTCACAGCTAGTGCTTTCTTTTCTCGATCCAGGTGCATGGAGACCACCCTCCCCAGATGTAGCCGGGGCTAGGATTGGAATGCCACTCGTTTGTAAACGGATCTACGAGAATTCCTCGTGGACTACCTCGGCCTACGAGACTCGCTCCGATATTGATATTGCTGTGACTCAATAGGAAATCGTTCCCTCTTCCTCTCCCCCTATCGGCTTATGCTTCTCATCTCTTCCTGCATATTCTGGGGTAAGGTAGGTAAATTGGCAATCCACCATCGCCACATCACGTCACATGAATATTCAGCGTAGCCTGCCCGGAGGATGATGTAGACGTTGACATCCTGACATGTGCCTCTCACGTTACGTCAAGGCAGATCTCCCTTCACGCTCAGAAACAGGAACCCACGAGGCTTACAATATTGTGTCCGCGTGGATGGGATATTACAGAACGTAGCATTGAGGAACTAGCAGAGCTTGCTCAAAGTCCAACATCGCCATCCCTCGAATAGGTCCCCAACGAAGCAACCCCAGAGACTCCCCTTTTTGCCGTCTACCAACCGAGTAAGTTCTATAAGATAATAGGCCAAAGAGAACACCAGGAGAAATATAGCAGGAGGAACGAGAAACCAGAAACGAAAGGAATATGTGTGCGAATGTGGTTCTCCCATCACGGGGAAAAACAACCAATCCCCCGATGCATATCTACATTTACTCGTTTTCAGGAAGGCCGAGCTGGGCCAATGCCTTCTCATCATTGGCCTCGATCGCTTTGATAAAGGTCGGGTACGGCGTCAAGGTCCCCAATGCCCGTCTCATGTGAGCATTGACAATCTGCAAGCCGTAAACGTAGCTTGCATTCACCCAGCCGAATCTGTGACGCCCATAGTTAGCATATGTTACATTTTACGGTTGAATGACCGGGGTGGAGGCGGCCAATAGTTGGTCAGACAATCGCTTACCCTTCCTTCGCGACTCCTCTGAAGTCAAGCCCCTGATTGCCGTACTCTGCATCAACTCGGTGGGGGTCTACGGGTCGTGTCACATCGTACTTCTCCACTACAACGCCATTGAAGTCCACAAAGGCTTTTGTAATCATGAACAGCCACTTGTAGGCGAGCCGTTCAGCCTCATCCGTGAAGCTATAACGGAGCAACCCGGTCCAGGCAAGAATTTGTTGCGGTGCCCAGCCATATGGGTAATCCCATTGCCGGTTAGGTCGCTTCAGGCCGACCTCTCCCCGAGACTTCTCCGTTCCGGAGAGAAGGCCTCCGTAGGCCTCAAATCTCGGCAGACCCTTCTTCACTAGATCAACCGCCTGCTTAGGCGATGCAATGCCTGCCCAGAGAGCCCACAAGGTGGTCGCGGTCTCATACGTGCACCGCTCCTGCTTCTTGACATTGTAATCGAAGAACATGCCCTCCTGCTCATTCCACATCAACTTATCCATGGTAAGCTTGCGGCGCTTGGCACGTCTGTCCCAAGCCGCGGAAGAGAGCACCTCGCCAGCTTTGTATGGTGTTCCAGCAGCAAACTCGGCAGGCACAACAAGTTTGTCATCGAACAGACTGCGGATGGTTCTGGCAATATCCGTTTCGTACTTGAAAAGAAGAGAGTTCAAATCAATCGTCGCCAAGTGGGCACAAACACCTTCAAGACGGTAAGTTGTGTCATGGCCAGATTCTCGAACTGCTCGATCATGCATGAAATACTCGTCGAGCTCGGGCTCTTTGATTTCTCCATAGTTATAAGCCCTCACAAATTCCTTGAACTCCATGTTGTGCTTCTTCACAAATGGGTCCAGGATGTGAACGAAATGGCTGGCCTCGGTCTCCGGAGGGACACCCAAACCTTCAGGGCAATAGACAGACAGGCCGGTGACAGGGTCCAGGCGCTGTTCGCTCATCCACACACTGTGATACTCCTTGATCGCAGCGAGGATGGAGCGGCGCAGGAACTCCAGAGATTCAGGCTCGTGTTTGATCTTTTCATACACGCGCAACGCCATATCGGTTAAGAAAGGAGGTTGGGAACGACCAAGATAATAAGATCTTGTGGCGTTCAGAATCTTTCCATAGTGCTCGATACAGAAACAAAAGTTAAGAACCATAGCCTTGGCCAAATCAACCCTGCCGTTGACCAAAAGACCCAATGATGTCATATAACTGTCCCAGCCATAAAGCTCGTTGAAACGGCCACCAGGAACAACGAAAGGCAGGCCCTTAAGCGTCGTCTCGCCGTTCTCATCCGTGACCTTGTCTACAGCGACGGCAAGCAGCCCGGGTGCATCGTTCATGTCTCTGATCAATTCGGGCGTGATCTTCTCGGGGAGCAGCTGGACGTCCAGATTGATCTCTGGTCGATCAGCTGCCACCTTCTTGTAATACTCAAACTGTTCGGGCGCGCCAACCGGGACGTAGATTCGGGGTCGAGGGTTATCGGTCCAATCCTTGGGGTCACGAGCAGCAATCTCAATGCTTGAGGCATCGATACGGCGGGTGAGACCTTCCCAAAAGTGATCACGGATCAGTCTGGACAATCGATCAACTGGGTTCTCGTTGAGACGACCTTCGTCGAGGATAATTTGTTTGCGTCCATATTCTTTAGCCAGTGTCAATTCCTGAAGCAGGTTTGACAGCATATATGTTCCTCGGACATCGAAGCGATTGTGGCCTGCCGAGCCAGCTGTTCGTAGAGAGATAACCTTGGGGCCACTGTCTTCGATTGTGATTTGCATGTTGCCATCGGTATCTTCCTGGGCTTGTAGGTTCTCGAGAGTGGAATCGACCTGGATCAGGAAACGACGTCCGGATTGACTATTGTTCTCGTCTGTACGTTCGCAACGCAACACCGTCAGCAAGGGGGGCTTTCTAACTTCGACGGAATCAAGACTGCTTACCATGGCTGCCTCTTCGGAAAGGCTCCTTAAGGCCAGCTCGCTCAAACTGCTTGAAAAGACTATTCTAATCACGGTTAGAATGACTTCCTCTCTCAATGCCTGCAAAGGGGACTTACCTGGGAATAGGTTCTCGTGCGAGTTCCGAATCGATTGTTGTGGCGATCTGCAGAGCCATAGTACGTTTTCGCATCGTCGTAGACGTTGTACTCGTCGGAGCCACGAGCTCGGTGGCCTCCTGATCCAGACATGTTTGGCGAAACGTCAAGGTGGCCAAACGGCGGTCTAGGTAGCTAGAGGTGGAGAGAGAAACGTTGGAAGCCGCTCACGATTGTTGGGGGTGCTGAGGATGAAATTGACGAGCGAATCCGACACGGGCAGGATGGATGAAATGGTTCATAAAGCTCGAGACGATGGGTCCGCCCGTGACAAGAGGTGGGATCAGCTTGGAGGAGCGAATTGAGCCTCCTTTTACTGAATTGAGCTGGTAGCAAATGTGGGGGGATGACGGTGAGAGAGAGGAGGTTCGAAGAGTTACGGCGTCACTGGAAGAAGCGGGTATATCAGAGACAAGCCTGCAATGAACTAGGAGAAGCAAACAATAAGAGTGCTCAGATTGGAGATGCACGAGGAAAGAGATGGATTAGTAGAGAAATGAAGGAGGTTTTGGCGGTCGGAAGTGTTAGCATAGGCTAGCACAAGAGGGTGGCTAGGACCTTTTCTGACATTTGTACATCTTAGATGCTCGTGGGGGGTGACGATATGCCACATGCATGCTAGCAGCACCCATGAACATTTTTTTTTTCCGTGGAGAAAGGGGAGCGTGCAGGCTGTATGTAGCCCTCCCTATCCTTGCGCCTTGCGTGTGCTTGCCGTCGTCAATCTGGGCGGTATGATGGAGCTGTACATCATACCTGGCGCCTGCATTGATAACTACATCATCGCTGGTAGGCAGTACATGTGTGTACGACCTGCCTGGGGGTTGGTTGGTTGGGGGGCCTGAGACTGACTCTCTTTGTGAGGGTCCCCTACCCCACCTTCCCTGGCTGCAGCTGCTCCCCACCCAGAGACCCATCAGGATGACGGCTTCCCACCTCGCTCCGACCGAGGACCAGCTATTTGGCGACATATTACCTGAGTCTATTAGTATTCTATTAGTACGGTTTTTGGGAGAACAAACAAATTTCTGCTCAACAGATAGGCATTTATTTGGAAACCACAATCCCAAGAAGACCTGTTTCAACAAACGCTGCATCGTGAGCGGCTACGTTTGACTAACTGGCGGAGTTAACGGGGTAATTACTCAAGACTTCACATGAAACCACGCGGATTTCATGGACATAAAGGACCCGAGAAAAGGGATGGAGGAGATCTTGTGATCAGCTTTCCTCCGTGGGCACCGTCATGTGGTCTTAAGGCAACTTGGATGATGTGCCAGCATAAGATGATCTATTAGGAGAGCTGTGGAGATGAAGGAGTAATACTGGACCTTATTCATCCTCCTTCCCATGCTGATACAGGATGTTTGCCATTGGGCATGAAGACCTCATTAGCTTCTTCACAAAAAGAGCGAGGGGTACCAGCAAACAAGATGGATAATAGTTTCAAATTACAGTCCACCGCCTCCAATCAAACTAGCATAAGTAAGAAGACGCCAAAAATCCAAGCTGCTGAGGGGGTATTGGCAATCAAGCAGAAAAGCTGTCGGTCACATCCCAGACCATTTGTCGGTAAACCAATATTGCAAACGCCACAAACCGATGGGTATCTCTCTCCTGTCTTGCCATTAATATTATTCGTCTCTGCTCTGTCGTTGCATCATTTCACGCCTCCTTCTAGCGACAGTGTTCGGGTCCCATGTTCCCGCAAATATGTCCTCGCACTCATCCTCGTTGTCGGAGTCAAACTCGACCGAGTCTTGGTCGCCGTCTGTAGATGAATTCCTAGTGTAGTCCTCCCGCCCCGTGGAGGCATCCTCCCAGCTGCGGTGCGTCACGACACGCTCCGACTCGAGAATGAACTTGCCTACCTTGTACTTCTGCGATTGCTCTTTCGCGTCCACGTACTTCCAGCCCAACTTCCTGAGACACGTGTCACAGTTGATGTCGGCTACAACGTGCCACCCAGTCACGAGCTGTCTGTTTTCTTTCGCTCCCACTCGGATGTTCAGCAGCGTCTGTTCAGCAGGTGGGGCCGGTGGTGCGACAAGATATGCCCGGCCGTGGCTGCCCGTGAAGCCTTTGGAAATAATTTGGTTGGCAAATGCGATATCTGTGGAACACGCCAAGCACTGCAAGGTATCCGGAGCAGCTCGAAAAAGTCGGGTCGGGATGGAATCCAGATGCTTTTCTGCCGGTGAATTGGTGGGTGTGGTTGCAGCGGATGAGACAGCTGATGGCGATGTCGGAGGAGAGCCCAACGAAGCGTCTGATGCTGAGGACGAGGCCGAAGAGCGGCGCCGGTTGCGAATAAAGGGGATATTTAGACTCGGCAAAAGGTAGTTCGAGAACAGTGGCTTTGTGGCAGAAATGAAGTTGTCACGTCCCATGATGGATGGCGTGACGGCGCAAGCTCAAGGGCGAGCGCGCGACCGAGGAATGATACCTGAAGGAGCGGTTCAGAGCTTCAGGTCGTCGTCCTCATGGGGCGATGTAGGAAATGGGATTTGAGATGGGCTACGGCGAAGTCTCGGTTCAAAAGGGCCAGCCTTGGATGTGAAAAAGAGAGTTTTACATTATGGAAAGGTTTGGCTGGGAGGCAGGGAGACTGTTGTATGCATGTCTCTCTGGTGCAGGGCAGTGACTACGGGCAAATCACATCACGTCCACCAGCACCAAAGTTGGAGGGTGCGGGGGTTCGCAACCTTACTGCATCCACGCACATGATCACAAGAGCGGTTCGATTGCATTATCAGCACACCGCAATTGCCCCACGAGGGAGGCATACACACCCTGGATCTTCCGGAGAGGCATTTCCAAATGGTCTGGATTTCAAACGCAGGGCGGACTCGGCAAGTGCTTCTTCATGGGGAAATTGAGGATCGTGGATCTACCCCAAGTCCATCAAATCCGGGCGGGTATCAGATCGGCTCTTACGGAGTATGCAGCGAGGGGACCTTTATCACAGTTCCCTAAATGCTGCCGCCAGTCCGATTGGTCTCAGAACCTTTTTCTTACAACGCACACCACCTTTATCACAGTACTCCTGGCGTCCTTCTACTCTACATGTACATTCTTAGTGGCCCACCGATAAACTGTGTTAAGCGAGGTAAGGTAGCCTCAAGAGAAGCCCAATGTGACGTGTTTGATTTTGGTACCTGATGTGTTTATTTCGTTCAACATATTAGAACGAGTTGCCCACACCGATACGGTACCAATGCTGGCGTCAGTGTATGCACTTGAAGTTGATCGGTCATTGATTTTCGGCGAATACCATCAATGTTCTCGGACATCCTGTTTCGAAACCAGCGTATCAAGAGAAGTGCATGCCGTTCTTCGGGCTAGCGGCTCGGCGATTGTGGCGGTGTGTGTGTATCATGACAGGTGCTGGCCAAGGTACAATGGGCTTGTTTAGCTTCATGTAGATGGCTTGTACGATTGGTTCACAACCCCGCCATTCCTGTGCGATGCAGTCAGTGTCTTAGTCGGATGATCTGCCGTGATACCGGGATACATTGTTTCATTTGGACAAGTCACCGTCTACTTCAAGTCACGGTGAACTGAATCCACATAAGCTGATTATTTCACATTATATCTCGCCTAGAATGCACCCTAGAAGTTATATGACGAAGCATTGTGTTTAGGTCTGAGGTTCTTCAGCGACGTAGTGTAGATAAGCACCCAGAAGCTTGATGCCCTCGATGTAGTTACGCTTGTCCAGCTTCTCATTGATGGAGTGGGCGCCATCTGTAGAGCTTCCCATAGGGAGCAGCAGAACGTTCTTGCCTGTGGCCTCCTCGAAAGTCAGGGTAACGGGAATACTGGAAATGTGTTAGTATATTGGTATGGTTTCGTGCAAGGAGAAACAGCGTGCTTACCTTCCACCTTCGCGAGTGAAATCGGGCTCGACGCCCCAGACGCGCTCTACAGCCTTGGCAGCTGCGGAGAAGTTCCAGTGCTTTGGCGATGCCACCCACCACTTTCCAGTGTGTTGCGGATACACACTCATTGTGTTCTTGCTCTTCAATTTGGCGAATTCCTCCTTCACATACTTTTCCACAGCCGCGTTGGTCTTGTCCACGTCCATATCAGGGACAGTTCGGATAGAAAACTTTCCAATGACCTTGGCGGGAATGACTGTCTTGGCTCCTGGAGCTGAGAAGGCACCCTCGACACCGTGGATGGAGAGGGAAGGATACCGCCAGCGAGCCATGAGAGTGGGCTTCTTATCATCAAAGATGGTGGTCTTGCTACCGAGGGATTCGTAGATGTTGTCCATGGTGAAAGCAATGCCGTCATACAGGCTCTCCTCGTCTGCCGTGACAGCTGCTACCTGTTCCATAATTCCAGGAATTTGGATCTTGCCATCAGTGTCTACCAGAGATCCCAGCACACGAACCAAGTCAGTCATAGGCTCCTGAGCTGTACCGCCAAATACACCACTGTGAAGATCAGCACCAGGGCCCGAGATCTCAACAGAGTAGTAGTTGCAGCCACGGAGACCGTAGGTCAGGCAAGGTTTCTCAGTTCCCAGCCAGTAGTTGTCGGAGATACAGACAGCATCTGCGTCGGCAAAGTAGTTCTTGGCCTCGGCCTTGATCAAGTCATCCAGACCCTCTGAGCCATACTCCTCCATGCCCTCAAAGCACATGAGGAGATTGACGGGGAAGTCGACGCCGGCCTTTTGGTGCGCCTCGATGGCATTCAGCCAGCCCAGCACAGGTCCCTTGTCGTCGGTCGATCCACGTCCGAACATTCGGCCCTTCTCGTCCACAGTGAGATCGAATGGCTCCGTAGCCCAGCCATCGGAGAGCTCGGCTGGCTGGACATCGTAGTGGCCATATACGAGGATGGTTCGCTTGTTCTTATCGTTTCCGTAGCGAGCAAGGACGACGGGAGGGAGCTCCAGGTGCTCCTTGTGGGGCTGCTTGCCTAGCTCACGAAGCTCAGCTTCGGCGCCGAGGCTCTTGAGCTCAGCAGCTAGCCAGTGGCCCATGCGAATAACATCAGGTCGGCGGGCATCTTCAGCTGAGATGGAAGGGATGGCCACGGCCTTTCTTAGGCGCTCGATAAAGTGGTCGGCGGAGGTGTCCACCTGCTTGAAGAAGCCGTCCAGGTTGGGTGCCATCTTTCGTGCTTGATGTGCGCGTATTGAGTTCGTGAGGTACGTCCGGTAGCTTTGATGAAAAATTTGACTTATACGGGGAGAGCTTGACCTTATTAAACCTGGGCCGGTACGTTGTGGTGTTTGTTGACACAACCGGAAGGTTGCTCGTTGGAGGGACACGGTGCGGGGCATGGCAGCGGGAACCTTCTACATCAGGTGGATGACCTCAGAACTTTTGCGTGCTGGCTGGTTCGCAACATGTCGCTGAGGAGTCTAGTAGAGGGGTTAGAACAGGTCTGGTAGGCGGTTATCAACGGCAGCTGCAGGCCTATCGATAGTGGGCATAGGTACTTCCATGTGGGTAGGAAGGTACTTGAGGTGGCCTGGTATGCGTGACACATGGTGCCGCCCAATTTGGAGGGGATTGCATTGCCAAATGCTTTCATCATCATTCGACCAAAGCAGTTAATAATGGACCCATCTATGCCCACCGGATCCAATTGATGGAAGAGTGAATGAGGTGACCTGAGTGGATGGGCACGTGATGAGTGCCAGGTTGAGCCATTTCCCCAGATAAGCCGGAGAAAAGTTGATACGAGCCGAGCTTGCACCAGGTCAGCTCTGCCCAGTTTCGGTTGGACTTTCCAGGCCATCTGAACTCTGATTCCTTACTAAGCAGGCGCTTGCAAGCGAATGTCGGCGCGCCCCTATCAAATCATTATTAATGATAGCCTAGAGCCCCATAATCTCCGCCTCATTTCCTCTTCTGCATCTCTCTTCTCCTCAACATCACGTCGCCTGGGAAGACGAAACCGACGCCGACATCGATCCCTCATCACCATCGTCGTCTGCTGCTGCGCGCGAAACACGCAGTCCACTGTTTTCCGGACTTCAGGCAGCGTGCCCCCGCCGAGCGTACACTCCGCAGTGGTCGTGACTGTCAATCTCACCTAGGCATCACTTTGCTGGATAGTCGGTAATCGATACCAATTAGTCTGCTTGCTTTGAAGGGATTGGAGAGTAGTGCGATCGCCTAACTGAAGGTACTTCGTGTTTTGGCTGGTTCATCATAGGAGGTCTGACGTGGTGATCTGGACGTGCGGAGGAGTTCACGAGGGTTCATTTTCCTGCTGGCTGCGGCCGACTGTACTCCTTATTCATCACGCCCATTGACCCTATTGTCTTCTTTCAAGTACAATCATAATTTTATTTTTTCCCCGTCCATCTTGAGTTGAAAGGGCGCACGAGTGCGAGCACAGAAACAAAAAATCACAAAGGAATAAAGAGGAAAAGAGAAGAAAGAAAGGAAACATTTTTTCACAGGCGCAGAAGAAACAAGCCATTACTTACCTAGTGTCGTGTTGTGGTGTTGAACAAAGCCAGTCCCGCCGATCACTTCATCGGACTCTGTTGCAACATCATCTTCAGTTCCTCGTTACTCACAGGTGCTCAACATGGCCTCCTCTGTCTTTTTCAAGTTTAAGTCGCAGAAGGAGCCCACGCGCGTCGAGTTTGATGGAACTGGCATCTCTGTATTTGAGCTCAAACGTGAAATCATCCTCAAGAGTGGATTAGGCGATGGCTCCGATTTTGATCTCTTCATCTACACGGACGATAACTCAGAAGGTGAGTGGTACTCCCCTCCTGATATACGCAGACCAAAACAGTTGACTAACTAATCCTAGAATACGACGATGATACTACCATCATCCCTAGATCAACCACAGTGGTTGCCAGACGCCAGCCGGCAACGAAACCCGGCGCAGGGCGAGCAGCTCGATATGTCTCCGGCAAAATGCCAGTATCGGCAAAGAATGCAGGCCGTAAAGAGCAGGCTGCCAAGGCCGCCGCCGCCAAGTCGAGTTCCCATGCTATTAACCAGATGAACAATGCCATGACAGAAGAGGAAAAGATGGCCGCTATGTTTGCTGCACAAACAGAGCAATGGTCTGCTCAGCAAGAAGAAATGTCTCAGTATGTATGCTCACGTCTTGTATATTTACCAACTTTACTAACAACGACCAAAGTCAAACGCCAGTATTTAAGCCCGGTCAACAAAAGCGACCCGCCAATGTTCCGGACCATGACCCCCCCAATGGTTATATCTGCTACCGCTGTGGTAACAAGGGCCATTGGATCCAGCTTTGCCCTACTAACGATGACCCTGATTTTGACAACCGGCCGCGTGTGAAGCGAACCACTGGTATTCCCCGTTCATTCCTGCAAAAGGTGGACAAGTCGGTTGTCCTTGCACAGAGCGAAGGTGACGAGTCAAAACGGCCTTCTGGTATTATGGTCAACGCTGAGGGCGATTTTGTGATTGCTGAACCTGACAAGGCGTCATGGGAGAAGTTCCAGGCCAAGGCGAAGACCTCATCGACTGTCAAGGACAGCTCAACGGAGGACAAAGAGATTCAGGAGCGTGGACTTGAGTGTTCAATTGACAAGAAGATGTTTATAGAACCAATGAAGACACCGTGCTGCCAGAAGACGTTTTGCAATGATTGCATCACCAATGCTCTCATAGAAAGCGACTTCATTTGCCCTGCCTGTCAGACCGAGGGTGTCTTGATTGATGACCTGCAAGCGGACGAAGAGTCTGCTCAGAAAATCCAAGACTACCTCAAGGAGAAGGAGGCAGCCAAAGCCCAGGCACCATCCCCCACCAACGAGAATGCAAACGCGGAACCTGAGAAGGACATCAAAACAGAAACCGAGGCCTCTTCAGAGCAGCCAGCCCAGAAACCCACCGACCCTTCGGCCCAGCAAATTGAGATTGAATCTGCAAGGAAATCTGAAGCATCATCAGCAACGATCAAGTCCAAGTCGCCAACCCCACCACCTGCAGATGGCAAATCCCCTCCAGGTGGACCGAAACCAACAGCTGCCGGGTCCCATGCAATGGAAACGACGAAACCCCAGGGGATCAAGCCTGAAGAGACGAATTCCAAGAAGCGACCCGCAGATGGTCTCCTCGAGAACCCCAAGATCCCCAAGGGACCCAAGGCGATGCAGAATCAACAAGCCCAGAACCAAATGAATAACATGATGAATGGCATGAACAATATGGGAATGAATGGAATGATGTTCAACGGTATGCCTAATATGATGCCCAACAACATGATGAACATGCCCAATATGAACATGAACATGGGGATGCCAATGATGGGAATGCCCATGATGGGCATGCCTGGGTTTCAGGGGATGAATGGCGGCATGAACGGCGGCATGAACGGGATGAATGGAATGAACGGAGGCTTTGGGGGTATGAACGGATGGGATATGAACGGGATGGGAGGTATGAACCCCATGGCAGGTTTCAACATGAACATGAATGGCATGGGGGCTCCCGATATGAACCCTATGGCCGGCTTCAATATGAACATGAATGGCGGGGGCTTCCCCAATGGAGGAGGAGCAGCAGCAGGAGGAGGAGGATTCCCCCAAACTGGAACCGAGGAAGATGCGTATTTCCGCAAGCCCGTAAACCCGCATCGACATCAAAACAAGCAGCGGCGTGTACGTCCAAGCGACTATCGCGAGCTATGAGCCATCGTGGATTCCTTTCACCACATCTTACATTCTTATCCTTTTGTTTCGACATTGGCTAGGGACGGCGTTGTTTGTTTGTTCTACGAATGAGGTGCTTCGGACGAAGGCTACGAGCATTTAGTATGTGGCAAGACAGCAACTTGCCAGCTGGACGACAGGGAGGTCTTTAACTTTTTTTTCCTTTTGATGGCATTCGGGAGTTCGAAGGTGGAGCCGGAAGGACATCCCATCACTATCCAGGCGGATGTTTGAATATTTCTTATGGAGGCGCTCTGGTGTTTCTAGCGGCGGCGTGAGCCCCAGGTCTTTTGATTTTTTCGACCTGATATCTTTGAAATGCATAAATATTACTGTAGAAGGAGTCACAAGTCCTCCAATAGCATAAAAAGAAATGACGAGAACTTTTTTTTTTAAACCATTATGGCTGTCTGTGAAGAAACTAAACCCCATCATCTAACCTATTATCACCTATGTGCTCAAGACGTTCCAACTCCATGCTACTCCCGAAAATGTCTGAAAATAAAAAATGCTCCCCTTCGTAAATCTTTATATTTCCCTTTCTGGCCCTATCATAGTGTGAAGAAGAAGAAGAAGAAAGATACCAACAGATATTTGTATCTCTACTCTGGCGGCGTGTAAGGGGTGACGAGCATCTCGCTGAACTTCTCCAGCTTCTCCTTCCCGCGCACCTCCTCGACGAGCAGGGGCATCTTAACGACGTTGAAGTCCTCGGCGTACAGCTCCTCGTACTGGTCGAGGTACTTGCTCTGCATCTTGCGCCGCGCGCCGCACTGCTCGCAGTCGCTCGTCTTGCGGGGGAAGAGCAGCTGGTTGACGACGATGCTGTGGGTGTCGATGCCGTAGCTGGTCAGCTCCTGGATCATGCGCTCGGTCTCGTAGAGGCTGAGGAACTCGGCGATGCAGACGCAGACGAAGGTGGTGAGGTCGGCGTCCTTGAACTGGCTGTTGACCTCGCTGATGGTCTCGCGCAGGGACTCGAGCTTCTCCATCATCTCGTTGAGGTTCTGGCCGTTGGGGAGGGCGCCGTTGGAGCCGAGGAAGCCGTTGAGCAGGGGGCCGTACTGGGAGGAGAGCTGGGAGACCTTGGCGAGGGCCTTCTCGAGGACGTTGGGGAACTGGAGGAAGCGGAGGGTATGGCCGGTGGGGGCGGTGTCGAAGACGATGGTCTCGTAGGAGAGGGACTTGACCTGCTTGAGGACCTCCGCAAAGGACATGGCCTCGTCGATACCGGGGATCTGTAGCAGGGTTAGCAGCTTTCAAGAGAGGGGGGGCTCTCAACCCAAGCCAATCGAGGTAGGGGGTGGACGTACGGCAAATGCGAGGTCTTGCATCATGCCACCCAAGCCACCACCGGCGGCGTTCAAGTCGTCTCCCTCGCCCTGGCCCGCGAGCATGTCCTGCATGCTACCGTTGGGGTCGATTTCCATGGCGCTCAGGTTCTCGAAGCCGTTGACGAGGCGGGCCTCCTTGCCGAACTTTTGCGAGAAGGCATCGGAGAGATTGTGAGCCGGGTCGGTACTGATGAGCAGGACGGATCGACGGACGCGGGCGAGCTGGATAGCGAGGGAGCATGAGGTGGTGGTCTTGCCGACACCGCCCTTGCCACCTACAAAGATCCAGCGGAGGCTGCGCTGGTCAAGGAGGGACTGCAGGTTGGGCTCGAGAGCATCGTCGGCGGAGATGACGGCAGAAGACATGGCGGCTCGTTGAATGGCAGAATGAATGAGATTCCCGTGATTCAATGCGCTATACTCCTAGAGGATCGGGAGGAAGCCAAACAAATAGCCAGGGCGAATTGGTCTAGGCTGTGTTGCTGGCGGTTTCGTAGAAGCACATAGTGGGTTCCAGAAACTTGCTGGGGAGGAGGGGCAACGTGGACAAAATAAACCAGGCAGATCGAGCCCAGATCGGGTTATGGTGAGGTGAGATTGGATGAAAACACACAGAGATAGAATTCTGTTACGGGTCATATTACAATAATAAAACACTAAAATCCATACAAATCTATCTAGGCATAATGAATAGAGTATGTCGCCCAAAACTTGCTTCTGAAAAGCCAGGCAATAATGTGCCTTAACTTGAGAGCACAACACGCTGAGATAATCAAGGGAAGAAGAACGACCCAGCCACTGGAGGACAAATAGGGCCCAAGCTTCTCTCTCCCCCCGGGAATTGATGACGTCGAAAGTCCTATGCCATACGACGACTTGGGCAGGACTTGGAAATCACCTTCAACTAAGGAGGATGATCAAGTCACCCCTGTTCCGGTAGCCCATACCCCTGGCGAGCCTAAATGGAGGGTTCTGAAGACTGTCGGGATTTCGTCTTTCACGGCGTTCCAGCAATTGAATGTGCAGATAGGGGCTCACCGAGTGCTCCTCATCGTGGCGGAGAGCGGCGGGCAGCGTGAACGCCCTCCCACTAGCGCTCGAGGTTGGAGGCATGGCTGGACAGCAAACCCGATGAATATATCATGCATATATTCCTTTCCTGGCTGTGCTTCGCTGCCTGCCCATCGACTGACTTTTCCCAGTCCTAACGCTTCTTGGCCTTCCCATTGCTGCATTCGATTGGCCTGCGATTGGGCATTCAACTCGCCCTCGCTGCGCCTACCCAAGCACCTATCTATAGCTCCCTTTGGTAACCTTGCCTCCATCACTTATAAGCCATGCCCCGCCCCCGCGCCGACCAACACTCAGGCGACATTCCTCGTTCACCAGCAAACTATCTCAACCTCCTCTCACGCCACATCGTAGGTCGCCTCTAACATAACCCATCTATCTACCCGCGCACTCCCCGGTTGACTCTGTAACCCCCCTCCCGAAGGCCCCCAAAATGTCCGAAAAGGACCCCATCACCTGCCACGTCCTGGACACCACGGCCGGCCGCCCAGCCAAGGGCATCCGCGTGCGCCTCGAGGGCCCAGCCCCGCCGCCGACCCCCGACTCGTCCCTCTTCTCGTCCCACGCCGACGGCGACGTCAAGCGCTTCGAGTCCATGACCGACGACGACGGCCGCATCCAGGCCTGGCTGCCCTACAGCTCCCAGACCGAGGCCGGCGAGATCCCCGTCTACACCCTCGAGGACGTTCTGGCCAACGTCAAGGGGCCCTCGCGCTGGACGCTGCGCTTCGACACCGCGGGGTACTTTGGCGAGGAGAACACCTTCTTCCCCGAGGCCACCATCGTCTTCCGCGTCGAGGAGGGCCAGCACTACCACGTCCCGCTGCTCCTGAGCCCGTACAGCTACACCACCTACCGTGGAAGCTGAGCCGCTTCGTCCCAATGCGGGGGTGTCTGTTGATTTATCTATAAGTGAATGGTTCTAAAGAATACAGTGTGGGAGGTGCGGCTCAGGTACAATGTACATCAACCATGAAAGACGGGCAAATCCATAGTCTAGTTCACTTCGAAGAGGACCCACAAGCGGTTTAGAATGAATGATATAAATTATAAGGATGTCATCGGCTGGGTGTATCGCACCAGGCAATACAATAAACCCAGCTCGTTTTTCTCTACGGCATTGCTGCCAGGTGTCGTGTGTCGCTATCCAACTCCAGTGCTTCCAGTACTAAATCACAAAATAAAATAAAAATGAACGAATGCTATGCTGATTTCGGCCGTTAACTTCATATCCGTCTTTCTCGCAGGTTGGGCGTGTCTTGATGCGCTTAGTGTCGGCCCTTCCGCCAGCCGTGGAAGAGACCCCTCTTGCTATGGGGGCTGGGTGGCATCGTGTCCCGTGAGTCGGGTCGCATGTCATCCTCCATCTCACGGTGATGAGGCTCCTCGTCAATCGAATCCTGGGCGCTGGACCCTGGGCGGGCAGCTGGCGAGGTGCCGGGGAGTTGGCTTTGGATGGCTCCCAGGACCGAGTGGAGGGCCTGGCTTGGGGCGCTGATGCTGCTATTGCTGTTTCCGGAACTCTGGCTAACAGTCCGGCGGTGCTTGTGCAGCATGGATAGCCGCCTGCGCCTCATGGAGCCTTCTAGAGACAGGTGGTCTCCCGAGATGACGGCATTAGGCGAGAGGTCGGCATCAGGGTGTGGTAAAGTGGTGTTGTAGGCTGTAGACGGTTGCTTTGTTAGATCCATCGTCTATTGGTATGGATTCGGGGAACTTACTGCCACAGAATGGTTCTGGAAATCCCGTGTCTCTATCACGACGGGACTTGGTGGTCGGAGTGGGTGGAGTGGCCATGATTTCCGGTACTGGTTCCGTGTCAACATATAAGTCCTGATCCTTGTGTCTGCCCGTGTTCTTGTCCTCGCGGCCGAGATGGCGATCAGGGTGGTGAAAATGCATTGTAGGTGTGCAGTTCCCAGTCGAGAGGTGATGTATGCGTGTATGACAGGTATTACGAGCGAAGAGTCGGACAGGTGACGGGAAATTTGTGACGAGACAAGTTGGCAGCAACTTACTTTAATAAGTAACGACTTGCTTACTTTGTTGGCGGTAATAACAAGAACTAGGTTTGAGGCTTAAAGCTTCGACGGTGATTGTGATTGCATATACGATTGCGTTGCACAATGGTGGCTTGTCAACAAAAGGCGAGACTGACTGGTAGTCTCAAATTAAGATCGATATATGGGTGAGGCAGCAGCTTCGAGTCACGACAACCAGAAGGGGGCGAAGGCATCGAGAGGCTTGGGGGAGGGTTACGTGGATAATATACCTGCACGAACATGCCACACTCGCCCAGCAAATATTACCTTACCTACTGCGTTAGGGCCCTGGTGCCGAGATGGCGAGAGACGGGCATCACGTTGCAGCGATGCCACCGCCAAGAGAAGCCAAAAGGCCCTTTCCTCGTCTCGGAAATATCGGCGTGTGGTGACTTTCACTTTCTGGGGACGCTGCAGGTCTCAAGGAAAGCCCGTCAATTCAAGGACAAGGGTCGGTGGGTGTTGGGCTAGAACATCCGAGTAATGTACCTCGATCCAATGCTAGGCTAATGTATGAGCATGCCAAGCTGAGCCTGTTTGCCCAGAGGCTGGCCCACCGTCTGCACACGGCACACCACAAGTCACCAACCAAGTACCGTGGCTACTGCAGCTTCTCAGCTGGTGGTGCGCCAGTTCTCCCTACCTGGTCACCAGTTCTGCTTGGAAACTGAGACATTGGCTGCACGTCTACTATTCTCTTCACCCAGCTGCCCACTAGCAGACCACTATGCCGAGTTCATCACCTCAGGTTCGCTGGCGGTGAGCGCAGGGCAAGGGAGACATGGAGAGCAATTCCCCAGTGAACTTCCGACGGTACCTTAAACGCCAGCCGCTGTGCCGGGAGTCCAGACCAACAAAACCGCCCGTGTGTGAGAAACCCGAATGCAGCGAGCTTGGCGGCGCTTTGCTGAGGCATGGAAGCCCTGCTTGCTCGGAAACCGGCTGCTGAAGTTATTGCCCGTAGCAGAGGTGGCGTCTGGGCTACTCTCTTGGACAAGAGCTGATGACGACGACTCGCCAGGGCGGGCGCGATTACCTCGATGCGACTCCATAAAATTTCGGAACATGCAGTAGGAGCAGCTAAGGCAGGGCAGGCGGCGACTCCAGCGTAGCTCCAGCACACTCCAGCAGCTCCCAGCATACCTTCTAGCGGGCGGCGATTCCACATCTCGCCCCGCACACTTCCCAGCTTAGCGGGTGAATGAGCATGCAGCACATCCAATTGGCCCAGTCGCATCAACATGCCCAGGTGGATATTGTGATTCGCTGTTGCTCTCAGGGTCCAGGCAAGGGCACAATGCCATGGCTTGGCTGAGCCGCGCACGCTCGCTGCAGCGTCTTTGTTGAGTGCCAAGCCCTTTGTCTACCTGAGATAACCTGCTGCTCTGACCAATTATTTGCCCCTCAGCCAGCAGTTGTCAAACGAGTTTTGTTGGCCCAGTGGGCTGTCCAAGCCTTGGCTCTCTAGACGCGCAATACAGAAACAAACAGTGCCGGCACAATACCCAGTGAATCCGGTATTTTTAGGTCCCTCGGGGATTTACATCAAGGTGAACCCACCGTCCTAGTTCTCCTTGCGGCCTATATACTAGAGTACGTGTATCGACTCCCCAATGAAGTTCTCACACTTGTGAAACTTTGGGGGTTGTGGACCAGGGACGACAGCCGAGCCGCAAGTCCAGCGGCTAGAAGGGTCGATTTGAGTTTCGACGAATGATGAATCCATTGCCCTACACCACCCCGTTTGCGTGCCTCGTTTCATCTTTTGGTGAAGATCGAGTCTGACATCACCCCCGGAGCCAGCACCAAGTATCGAAATTGCCACTGGCTTACAGGTCTTCAGGCCATGTGAGTCTTCCAACGCGACGGCTCTTCTCTGCGACGAGCTAGAGGCCATCCGTCCGAGCATATCACCTCAAGTAAATGATGATCGCTATAGTGTGAAAGTAACGAACCATATTGGATCGTGCAATGGAAGTCTGAGGGACCATCACCGCTGGGTGAAGTCGATCTTGATTTCCCGATGACGCACCGAGGACCAGGGTGACGGCGCCGCAACGTAACGCACGGGTGGCGAATACGATTAAGAAGATGGTAAACATCCGCCTTTCCTTGTCAAATCATGTCGAAATGAAAACAATCAACCAACGACTACCGAAAGAGGAATTGGCCAGTGCTACGAGCAATCTGCAAAGTCCCAGTAATCCAATTGACCGGAAATTTGTTGGCCATCGACGAAACTGAGACAGCTTACAACCTTACCTAGGCATGGTAAAGTAGTAAATCCGATCTGCATCAATATGGGCATTTGTCTGGCACGAAATACTCTGGACAACCCAACCCATGCTGGGGATTTCATACATAAAGCACTTTCCACACCTATATTTAGACACAAGTAGCAATGAGAAAAAATTAATACATGTAAGCCCATTACGTTATTTCAATGCCTGTAAAGTTAAATAATTTGCTATATTCACACAGATGAGGATATGCCTTCTTCCCAGTCCAAGGTCAGGCTGATGTACCACTGTGCTATGGAGTATCTTAAAGAATGATTACATCCTACTTACAACTAAGTGTCTACTATGTAGAGCAATAGAAGCCTGGGGAACAGTATACCACCATATTTAGGAAACGTGCACGACAGAGTGTTGATCGAAAGTGTGAAGTAGGGATCTATAGGGTAAGTGATGTTCTCGAGCCTCGTGTCTCGACTTATTTCGTGGACCACGCACTGATTGATTGCATAAAAGGGAGACAGTATAGAGAAAAACCCCCCTTGTAGAGATCACGGAGGCTTTGGAAATTCCTAGAAAAAATGTTCTTTGTAGATCAATGGACAGTCTATTAGCAACACACCACATCGTAGTAATGGAATTCACTACATTTTACCAAGGACTAACGAGTATCTGTACTGGGAATTGCATTGGCGCTTCCCTCGTAAAGAGCCGCAGTGACCGAACAACGGGGGCAAAATGATGTTTGTTCTAGCTGTGTCCGCTCGTGATTGGCGAAATTGAAGACGGGTTGATCGTGGGAATACCCTGCCGCGGCAGTCTTTAATATTAAATGATGCCTGTATATTCAATGGGCATCTCCACATGAATGCGGCCTACGTGAAGTGATGCTGGGCCTCAATATTGACCCTCCATGTTGCAAGGCGATTCCACCTTGTTATCCGGATCATTCAGGTAGATATTCCTATATTACCGTCAGGGAACTCGGGTTTTCCACACACACCTAAACGCACACTCTTTCCAACAAAAAACGACACGTATTATATAATTCAATGCGCAGGATGCATTATTTATTAGATTACTAGATGATGCTTCAGAAGGGGGCGGCTCATTCTCTCCACTCTTACAACCATTATATATCATTTTGGCTCTAATTCGTTATAAATCTTAATGAATTGACTAGGCATCGAGCCTTCCTAGTTTAGACAAACTACCTACCTAGACGGAACAAAACTTCACCTTATGGCTACACCCTTAGTCTCCTCTCCTCGGTCTACTCATAGCTGTTATAGTGTTCATCCTCATCTATGTTTCACTTTGCGATATAATTTGAACGACTCTTCAAATTTCGAAGCTGAGGTTTGATGTGTTTTTGCCAAACTAACATTACCATAAGTGAGTGATATCCCCTTGGCTCGCCTAGAACAAGACTTAGTCGCAGCAGTCTACTTCCCTCCAGCGAGTGCAAGCTTCACCCTGTGCCTGATGAGCTACATAGTTGAAATTGTAAAAAACTCGGCATGAAAGTATAGAAATTGAAGCGTAGCATGGCGTCTTGATATGGATTTTTCATGGGTTGAGAGAGCTTA